ATTTGAACAATTCATTTTCAGAAGCAAAAATTTAAGTGTATATGTGTGTAGGTAGATGACTAAGAATTGGAATAAGGGTAGGGTAGAGGTCATGTTTTTTTAAAAATGAATATTTGCATAAAATCACTGACAGATAACATGAAAATATTTAAGCTGTCGTCGAAACAGTCATATTTTAAAACTTTATATAGAGCTTTTATTTTAAGATTGAAAAAGACGATGGGAAGGCGTTGGTGGAAATATTGTAGGCATATTTTTTGGGCGTTTTGTAAAATTATCATGAGTAGAAAATAATATATATGCCTGATTAAAAAATAATTTCAGAGCATTTAGTTAAAATATACCTCACTAGGTGGCAGCAGAATAATTACATAAACATATTTTACATCTATATAGCCTTTTTTTCTAACTTGAGTTCTGGTCACTTTACTGTTGGGAGTTACCAGATAAACTATTTGTTACTAGGGTTAAATTTTTAGTACAGAAAGTGATCACGCTAAATGAGTCTCTTTACAAGCGAAGTAGACCTTTTGATTTTTATGATTAAAATAAAATACATATAAGCCCGTCATAATATTCAGGTTAAGCCTAGCTTCAGTCAGTATTTTCGACATCCAAACTAAATTCATTATTGGAGTGCACTCTTTTGAATTGCTTTAGACTTTATAGGTTATCGATACGTTTATCTGCCTACTTTATGTGACAGCAAGCTTTACGACTTTTTTTTTCAGTTGTATCTTAGCATTAAGCAATCAACTGATTAGACTCAAGCGTTGTGTGACCCGTACAGATATTGCTAAACGTTTTGTGATTCTCTGACGTCACGTAATATAATGACTGCAATTAAGGGTAATTTAACCGCGATTAAGTCGTTGTCTTCACTGTTAGCGACCGTGTATTACCGAAATCCAGCATTTGTCCAGCTTCGTGTTGGCGTCAAGTTTGAGGATTATATCTACACAGATATATCTCTGGATGTAAAAGCTACTGGAGCCTCAAAACCACCTTTAATTGTTTAGGTAATAATCAAATCACCTTAACCGTGCACACTTTGAATTTAATTAAAGGTATTTAGTCCTTAGGACCCGACGCTGTATATATGTATAGCATCTTATGTTATCATACCATTTACTGCGATTATTGTTATCATCTGTGATGCATAACTTTCACGAATTCTACATGTGTAAATACTCAAATAATCCTCAGAAGCGAAACGTTCATGGAGGGGTGTAAAGCTAGAAGTGATCAAGTAAAAACTAAGCTAGAAGCTTAGGAGACCATACTCCCCTCGGAAAACTTTTACAGTTTGAGCCTTTTGATTCAGTATGGGCCACAGAAACATACAGAAGCAAAAGTATCTGAAAAAAAAGGCGTGGTTTAGCGACCAGTTTAAATTGGTTTTATCTTCTTCCTTTATTTCACGCCCTCTAGTGGCACAGCGGCATGTCTGCGGGCTTACAACGCTAGAAACCGGATTTCGATACCCGTGGTGGGCAGAGCACAGATAGCCCTTGTGTAGCTTTGTGCATAAGTAAAAACAAACAAACAAATTTCATTTCATTTCGACTCTCTATCTCCATTAAATAAAGTCGTTTTATAATTATTATCTGTTTACAATGAGTCGTCATTTCAGATCTGAAACTCAAATCAAGCTGGGAGAATTGTAATCCGACTGAAATTTATAGAAAAAAACAAAAGCACGTGTTCTGGCGACCATGAAGTAGCTGATCATATAAATTTGTATATGCGTGTGTAAATATGGATGCATGCATTGGAGATGGGGGTTGTGGCCCTCATGCTCCAAATATTACAAAATATCTACGTATGTGCCTATATGTAAGTATATACGCAGGTACATACCTATATATATATACATGTTATAAGAACACCACGTTATAATATACGTTAACTTTACAAAATATCTACGTATGTGCCTATATGTAAGTACATGCATACCTATATATATATACATGTTATAAGGACACCACGTTATAATATACGTTAACTTCACAAAATAATCTGTTCCAATGGGTGAAAAAGAAGAAAACATTATTTGATAATGATCACAAGGACGTCCGAAGCGTTATACAAATAAACTATTCTTATTTCAACCGACTGTAGCAGCTGGTCTTGTAATGTTGATATTTATGCAAGTGTGCATGTTTGTGTCAAGAGTACGCGTTTGTATGTACGTATCATGTAACTATATTGGATTTGATTTTTTCCTCACATTTTATATAAAGATTGCACTGTTTTTGTTTTTTTCGGATGTAATTTGTATTCGAAGCTCTTACCTTTCTCCCCTACATAAATCTTAAGAACAAACCCTCAGCTTTTTATTTGGGGTTTTAGTTTGAATGCTCTGCTACATCTACATAAGTAGATTATAGAGAAGCACTTTTTATTATTGTTGTTACTCTTCAAGTTTGAAAAACGCTTCACTCGTTAAGTCCTAGCGAAGTTTGGATAACTTTGTTTTGTATTTAAGTTGTTTTATTACTCAGCCACCAAATCAACTATTTCTTTCCCCGCATCCGGATGAGAAGTTTAGTTTCCCCAACCGGAAGTGTGGAGTTGTTCACGTCACAAACAAAACTGAATAACACTAATTTTACTGTTAGATCTGTTCCAGTTTCACTGAAGTTTGATCCTTGTGGTGAAATGTTCTTAGTGTTACATACAGACTGTAATTAGCCTACATTTGAAAGTATCTAAACATATTCTATATGGCGTTGCTATCGTTTCTCAAATTATTGTATCCTTTTACTGTTAGATCTGTTCCAGTTTCACTGAAGTTTGATCCTTGTAGTGAAATGTTCTTAGTGTTACATACAGACTGTAATTAGCCTACATTTGAAAGTATCTAAACATATTCTATATGGCGTTGCTATCGTTTCTCAAATTATTGTATCCTTTTTTTTATTATTATTTCGAGCCATGTACGTTTGAAAAACAAACACAACAAAAAAGTTTGAAAAAGAAAGGACAATTTTCAATGGTTCTAAATTTACTACAATAAGAAACCATTGACTCGTTATCTACAAACGTGTACCTAAACACATCACGTAATCCTTGTTCGAATTGTAGTATCCATCATGAGTCATCTTCAACCGTTCAGCTCCCCTCGTCTTCTTATGGTTCCCACTAATGACATTCCCAGTTATCATCTTATTTCCCTCAGCTCCTCCTTCCACGATGTTTTTCTCCACTCATTTCTTCTTGCGATTATATCTTCTTTCACATCCAACTTTTCCCAGCATCTATTTACTCGTTCTTCTCTCAGTACATCATATTCTGAACGATCTTCTATAGCAGCGCAATTCAAAACTTTCTATTTTTTTTGTTCATCGTTCTTCCTTAACTTGCAACTTTCACAACCATAAGTAGCTATTGAGAAAATAACCGATCTAAGCAAACGTGAGTTAAAGATATTAGTAACCACCTAGTTATCATCTCGGCCATCCTCTTTCGTAACATTACTAATAATCTGTTAGTTTCTACAGAACAATCACCGTTGTTGTTGATCATAGATCCTAAACATCCGGATTACTCTACATTTTCTATATCTACTCCATTTAAAGGGGTCGAACGTAACTCGGTGGCTAATGTGATGGACTGTATATCTGAAGGTACAGTGTTCGTGTCTCGTTATCGCAAAAAAAATCATTCTCCGCATTTTTTAGGCCGTAGATGCATTATAAAAGTGACAGTCAAATCATATTATTCGGTCACAGGGGTCGAACGTAACTCGGTGGCTAATGTGATGGACTGTATATCTGAAGGTACAATGTTCGTGTCCCGTTATCGCAAAAAGAAATCATTCTCCGCATTTTTTAGGCCGTAGGTGCATTATAAAAGTGACAGTCAAATCATATTATTCGGTCACAGGGGTCGAACGTAACTCGGTGGCTAATGTGATG